TGTGAGACTTATAAAGCCACCGGATCTCATGAGACATATTCACCACCACGAGAACAGTATGGCGGAAACCGCCTCCATGATTCAGTTATCTCCCACACAGTCCCTCCCACAACACATGGGAATTATGGGAGCTACAATTCAAGATGAGATTTGGGTGGATCACAGCCAAACCATATCAATTGTTTTTAAAAAAGTGGTTATCCACTGACAGAAAGGGTTGGGAGAGTGCATATTGGTGACTCTTCTGATATGTCACCTCCAATGTCCACTTCACTTAGGTTAGAGGACTACTATTTTATATATTTTAATCTTAGCACAGTGAGTAGCTGGTATGTAGTAAGCACTCAGTAACTACATGTAAACTGAAAATTTAAGATATTTTAGTAGATAAACTAAAACCCTATTAACTAGTAATTAGCTGAAAATGTAGATTCCTGGTCAATGTAGGTGTAATAACATAGGAAAAATCAAACTATTTTTCCTACTCTCACACTCAACACAGACACTTCTGTGCTCAGAAGTATGGGCTTGCTTTTGCTTTCCCATACATCAGTTCTCCAGTGGTCACCAACTGGGCATCCTACGATTTAACTAAATTCTGACACTCCCTACCTGGAAAAAGCATCAGATCCCACAGGTTAAGGGCTCAGTCCCACAAGACTTCCCTTCACTTCAGACATCAACTGAAAGTTGTAGGCTACCTACAACTGCTGTTTGATTTAGCTATAAATTGGAGGTTTCTATAACTCCCTTCTCTGGTTTGACTGATTTGCTAGAGCAGCTCACAAAACTCGGAGAAACACTTGCTTTTACTGGTTTATTATATTTATAAAGGATATTATAAAGAATACAGACGAACAGCCAGCCAGATAAAGAGGTGCATAGGGCAAGGTATATGGGAAGGGACACAGGGTTATCAAGCTCTTTCCAGGCATGCCACTTTCCCAGAACCTCCCCATGTTCAGCAACCCAGAAGCTCTCTGAAATTTCAAATTGAAATCCCACAGTTTAGGAATCTTTTTTTGGGCCAGAGGGGGAATGGAGTCTTGCTCTGTTGTCCAGGCTGGAGTGCAGTGGAGTGATCTTGGGTCACTGCAACCTCCACCTCCCAGATTCAAGCAATTTTCCTGCTTCAGCCTCCTGAGTAGCTGGGATTACAGGCACATGCCACCATGCCTGGCTGATTTTTGTATTTTTAGTAGAGATGGGGTTTCACCATGTTGGCCAGGCTGGTCTTGAACTCCTGACCTCGTAATCTGCCTGCCTCAGCCTCCCAAAGTGCTGGGATTACAGGTGTGAGCCACCGCATCTGACCCAGATTAAGGAGTTTTACAGTGGCTTCATCCTGTAAGCATGGTCAATTATTAACTCAATCTTCAGCTTCTCTCCCCTTCCTGGAGGATGAGGGGTGTGGTTGAAAGTTCCAAGCTTGTAATCATGGCTTGATTTTTCTGGTGACCAGAACCCATTTGGGAGACCTCCAAAAGTCACCTCAATAGAACGAAAGACACTCCTGTCAAACAGGAAATTCCAAGGGATAAACAGCTCTGTAGTCAGGAATGTGAAGGTCGGGGGTGTTGTGGGGGCAACAGAGAACAAATACATATTTCTTTTTATAAATCACAACCTCATAGTAGATGCTTGGCTTCTTGTACCATGCATGCAAGAAACAACAATATGGTTGTGGTACTTGTACTGAGGTACAATCATGAGAAAACAAGTTAGCATGTCAGTATCGTTCTTATAAAAGAAATGAAATAAATGTCTTTTACGAAGGATCTAATTCACAAGCACATTACCATTAAGAGAATACAGTGGTTGATGACTATTAATGTGAAAATGACCACCATTTGGATGTTCCTGCTGTCACCTTCTTAGAGACTTTGGGGATGGGTAAACTCACACATGCACAAACACACACACAAGCACACAACACACACAAACACACACACACGAGTATAAATATAAATATATATGGCCAGACCATATACTTACTTTATGCAAAACAATTTTAAATTCCAAGTTTGATAGCTATGAACAAACTTCATTAAAAATAGTATTTAGAGATCAAATTGTTTTACTCCTGCTTACTTTGAAATAACATCATAATTAACTTTTCTCTCATGGATCTTGAGAAAAAAAAAAAAAAGAAGACGACGACGAACAGCAAGAGACAGCTAATGGCCTTCATATCCCCATGTAAATTTTGGCTTATACTAAAACACTCAAGGACAAGTATCAGCAGTAAATCATATAACCTACATTTCAGAATCAAAATTGCCACATTGCACTCTTTCTGAAATCAGAGGAGAAATTTCAGATTGTTATTTGCTCAAATCTATTTGCATTCCCTGGGCACATACCCAGTGGCAGAACTTCACCCAGAGGCATTCTCAGGCCATCCTGAAACATCCACCCTGCAGATTAGCCACACTTGCAAACTCAAGAACTGTATGAGTGGGTTTTTCCCTTTTAATTGGTACTTATCTTTGCCCCCAAGAAAGATATTTTTCAAGTACTCTGTATAGTAACAAAAAAGAAAAGAAAAAAAAAAACCCTCAAATTTTTTGTACCTCTTAGCCACCCATAAGCTTTCTGCTAATTCTGTCATAAATAAATAGAATTGACAAAGACATTAAAGAGGGAAACAATAAAAATAGTCAGGAAGAGCAGAAAAAAAGATTGTCACGATATTCGGTCTCGTTTCGCCAAAAAGGTATTAAAGTGCCAATGATATAAAAATAGACTTGAACAATTTTTTCTAAAGGAAGGGGGTAGCTACTCCCAGACTACATAAGATGGGTGTCAAAAAGGTTTCATTGATTAGTTGATAAGTTTGCCTGTGAGTGATTAGTCAATTAGTCAGAAAGGTTTGAATTAGTTACTAGAGCTCTGACTCCCATGAATAAATGCCGGGAGTCTTCTCCCCCACCCTCTGTGACAGATGATATCTGTTTTCTCCTGTGAGTTTGAATTTAAGAGCCACTGAAGCTCAGCAACAGTATATTCTGGCTCAAATGAGCTGAAAATTGCATTCAATTTGAATTTCAAAAATCGAGGGGAGGAAGGGGGGAAAAAACCTCAGCACCCATCAAGTCCCTACACTCTTCAACTACTTCCTGCTGCTTAGCTCTATTCCGCCAGGCTGGGGACCTGAAACCCAGGATGTGTTGCAGGGGAAAGAGCATCGCTGGATTCCTGCCCAGTCTGAGTTTAAAAATAAACTTTTTATAGTCAGGATCAAAGCAAACCTCACTTTTATGCACATGCATAATGCAGAATGTGACCCACCAAAGAAACAGATTTACCTTTTCCAAACTGAAACTGGCCTGCTTTATTATTTTTTTTTTTCTTTACGTTCTCTGGAGGTGATAAAGGTGAAGGTGTTTTTCTTGGGAAACTCTGGAAAAGCAAATTCTTTTCTAAATTAAAATTAATTCCTCTTCAGCTCACTTAAGACCCTCATTCTTTGTGGCTCGGTGCCCCCAGCTCACCCACCTCACATTACAAAGCAGACGTGTTCTTGAAAAGTTGAGCAAGTAGCTATTGATTTTTCAAATCAAGTCATATTTTAAATGCTCTAAGAGAGTTGGTTATTTAAAGGAATCTTGTGATAAATTATTTTTTAAAGCCAATCTATTTTTAGTGTACAAATCATTGCCCCTTCCTGCAATGGCATATTAAGCGTGAATTTGAAGCCTATCCAAGTTTTCTGAAAGCAGGGCACACCTGTAGTCCACAAGAAGTAGATGTAAGTGTTACCAATATTTAAAACTAAACTGATGCTACGCAAAACAACAGATGATATCCCAGAATCATGTAACTGAACGGTTTGGGGCCAGAACTCCATTTTATGACAGTTGGAGCTGAAGGAGGAAAGAGAACGCCAAATTCATTCCAATGGACTTCAAACATGAAAACATATTCTCCCGCTGACTAAATTACTCTCAATTTGCAAATTAAGCAACCTGGGTGCCATGAAAAAGGTAATTCAACTTCTAAAGTGCCATTTTCCACACTGAAGCAGGAGTCTGCTGAATGCCGTTCAGAAATATGCCTTATTCCAAAGGGTTCAGTACCAAGCACCATTGAAAGGCATCATTGCCAGTGAGCACGCACGGATTCCTGTTCACTTACTCTGCGCTGGCCTCTGCAGCAAGATCTCAGAGTAACTAACACATCAGAGATCCTGCATTAGAGGAGGCAGTGGCTCTTCATCCTTCCTGAGTTACAAACCTGTGTGCGAGTATGATGAATGCACAGACACTCTGCAACAAAAGAGTCCTTCCACGCTATGATCCCCGTATGACAGTCATTACAACCACAACGGAGTTCATGGATCCAAGTGAAGGACCTGGGTCTAGGATATTAACTGACTAACTAATGGTAACCTGGGAAAGTTAGTATTACATAATTTCCCTTCAAAAATGGAGTGAAGTAGACAGATATCCCTGGAAAGAAATGGGTATTCAATTGAAATCTAATGGATACTAAGAACTTTTACTAAGTTCACAGAAGGTAGAATTAGAAAGAGAAGGATCTCTATCTTAAACACAGGACAAGACGTAAAGAAGAGTAATATTTTACTTCTTAGGCATCACTGAAAGACAAAAATTAAGAATTAGTCTGACTTTCACAACCTCAGCTTACTGGTCAATACAGTGAATCAACAGAAACTCGGGAAAACCTTTCCAAAGCAACTACAGGATCACTACAACACACACTCAGTAAAGTCCAATCTGCCAGAATATCCTACACACAGACAAAAAACAACAACAACAACAAAAAACACTTTAAAAGCATTTAAAATGATGTTTTTACATTGTAAAAGGCAGAATGAGGAAAACATTGTACCTTACTATGAAATACTTGCCAGCAGCACAATAGTAGTCAAAGATGTCACGGGGCCACTTAACCCTCTAACGTGTATCACATGGTATTATGTTATATGGATTTTAAAAGAACATTAATATCTCCTAATCTTGTAGGGAGCAGCTTACCTTTCAAACTGCGACAGTGTTAGCGTAGGATTTTTTCCTTACATCTTCATAATTTAATATTGTTTCATTGATGAACCAGTAAATTGTCAGCTCTATTCATTTATGTGACGTGAGCAAGGATCCAACCCAAAAAAGGAAAAAAAAAAAAAAAAGTAAGGTCAATTTTCTTGGCCGTTGCATTTAATAAAATCTCCCAGGCAATAGAGTTAAGCACACATTAATAGCTATGACTTAGTATGCTCTGCCTTTAGCAAGTCTTTGATTTTCCTATATATACACTCAGGGCTGTATTAACACTCCAACGAAGGTACAGTCCTCATTTCTTATTTTAAGATTTCTTCCTTCTCAGCTTTATCAGATTTATTAATCTTCCGCTCCTCTCTTATTTATAGCAAATGCTCTGGTTAGGGTTTCAAAGCATTTTCCATTATAATACCCATATATAACTTTCAGGAAAAAAAAAATTCTTCCAAGACCAAGGGACTTTGTACTTACTTCATATTAGTCTCAAAATATATGCATTTCTCCAAATGTGAAGGCTTTGTGTCCTATTTCTCTGATCTTCAGGAAAAAAACACAAGACAGTGGGTAGAGGTCCCAGCTTTCTAAGTGGGAAAACTTGAAGCTTCTATTTTAAGTAAACTCCAAGTGGGTTTTCACTAAACATACACTAATGATGTTTTAGGGAGATGTCTATCAAAGGAAGCTACTGGGTTGAACCTCATGAAGTTGCTGTTATTCTATCAATTTCGACCTACAAAAAAGGCAATTCCATATGATTTAACTTAATGCTTCTCATATCTTTACTAAAATATAAAAAGACTGTTCAGAGCAACAAAGCAATCCCTTGTATATCCAGGGAAATTCTGTGCTGAACTTGCAGCTCAGGAGGTGAGAAGGGAGAAGAGAAGGTTGTGACTAACAGGAGGCCGGAATGCCCCTGACAATTTGTTTGGTGCACGCTCTGGTGCAATATATTAAGTAAAAGATGTGGAGAAAATAATTACTCAGGTGGCACCAGGCCACTTTGCATCACATCCCTTGAGGCATGAATGTGGTAACTGTAGACTTTGGGGAGTGAACACTTCAAAGAGATGCCTGCATTGCATTAGAAGACCCTCAGACGAACCTCTAAATCGTTTCACTAAAGACACCCTTCAGACTCATTGCTTTCCCGCTTTCTTTCAAGAATGAGGTTAAAAGTAAAATGCTTGGCATATAAACTAGATTGAGGTTTCAATCCCAACATCCCCCTACACCCAGCAGTTGGAATCATACCTTGGTAATTTACTGTAATGCTAAAGAGAAACTATTTGAATACTAGAAAACAGAGGGATCATTTTTAAATAATTTCTTGCATAAAGTGAGCTGAAGATCAACTAAGACAAGAGACCGAGGAGGTTTCTAGTGTAGGTTGGAATTTGACAGGGTCTAGAATCAAGAAAGGAGGGTGCTTTACATATAAAACTAGGATGGTGTTTTCAACATACCCATGAGAGAGACAGGAGGTAAGATGACTCGAATGTGAGAATCCAATCCTATTTATTTTTTAGGAGTGTGAACATAAGAACCTGTTAAAAAAAACTGTAATTTATGTAAGTATAGAGAAACACTAGGAGAGGACCCACCCAACTGACACTAGAGGGTCAGAAGTCCAAGAAGACCTAATTTAGGTTTTTGCTTTTTTAAAAAGAAAGCACAGGACTCAGGAAGTACAAACACAGGACTTGAATCAAGAAAAATCCTTCAGGTGCTGATTTCAACAGTTAGGTGGCGGCTTTCTGTGTAATATTGCTAATGCTCATAGCCAGTGTGGCCGTAGATTTCAAGTTAACATTTAAACTCTACAACTTGTCATACTCTATCTCTGAAATGGCTGAAAATTTGAAATAATGTTAATGTTAAAACAGTGGTTTTGGGAACCAGTTCTCCTTTTGATCCCATACCAACAACTATCTCTAAGCAGAGGTGTTCCACTCAGGAGATTCAGTTTGTGGGCAAGGGGAGATGGTGGGGCATTGGAAGGGTGTATGGAATCAGTTCCTGTTACCCTTATGATTTCCTCTTATTCCAAAATGCAGTATATATTTCCCCAGAAAAATCTTGATTTAAATGGTGACAACCAATCCAGGTGAAAGATTTCTTATTCAACACTATAGGTAATATACTAAGAATGGGGGGATAAAGATTGTAAACGGCCTTTAGAAGTCCAGTAACAATATGATTGAGCAGAATTTTGTGGGTAACCCAGGAAATGCACTACTATTTATCTCACTTTTTCCCTTGTCTGCAAATATTCTAAATTCCAAACAACCAGTTTTATTTTGTTTTATTTTATTTTCAGTTTTAGATTCAGGGGGTGCATGTGTAGGTTTGCTAAAAGAGTATATTGCGTGATGCTGAGATTTGGGCTTCTACTGATCCCGTCACCCAAACAGTGAACATAGTACCAGACAGAAAGTTTTTCAACCCTTGATCCCCTCCCTCCCTCCCCTCTTTTGGAGTCCCCAGTGTCTATTGTTCTCATCTTTGTCTGTTTCTATCCAATGTTTAGCTCTCACTTATAAGTAAGAACATGTAATATTTGGTTTTCTGTTTCTGTGTTAATTCACTTACAATAATGGCCTCCAGCTGCATCCATGTTGCTGCAAAGGACATGATTTCATTCTTTTTTATGGCTGTATGGTATTCCATACTCTATATGTACCATATTTCTTTATCCAGTCCTCAACTGATGGGCACTTGTGTTGATTCCATGTCTTTGCTGTTGTGAATAGTGCTGTGTTATACATATGAGGGCAGGTGTCTTTTTGGTAGAATAATTTCTTTTCCTCTGGGTATATATCCAGTAATGGGATTGCTAGGTTGAATGGTAGTTCTGTTTTTAGTTATTTGAGAAACCTCCAAACCGGTTTCCACAGAGGCTGAACTAATTTACTTTCCCACAAATAGTTATAAGTGTTTCCTTTTCTCCACAACCTCGCAAACATCTGCTACTTTTTCACTTTTAATAATAGCCACTCCTACTGGTGTAAGATGGTATCTCACTGGGGTTTTGACTTGCATTTCTCTGATGATTACTGATGTTGAGCATTTTTTCATATGTTTGTTGGTCACTCGTATGTCTTCTTTTGAGATATGTCTGTTTATGTTCTTAGCCCACTTTTTAATGGGGTTGTTTCTTGTTCAGTCATTCAAGTTCCTTGTAGTTTCTGAACATTAGTCCTTTGTAGTATGCATAGTTTACAAATATTTTCTCCCATTCTGTAGCTTGTCTCTTGATAGTTCTTTTGCTGTGGAGAAGCTCTTTAGTTTAATTAGGTCCCAGTTACCAATTATTGTTTCTGAATAACCAGTTTTAAAATGTAGACTGAGACACAACTCACAACTGTTTTGTAAGCTGATGATTGTCTATTACAAAGAAAAAATTCCAGGATTAAGAACTATCAGGTGCAGTTGCCTGGATTTTGCATTGCACGATTCCCAGGGTGCACCTTTCGTACGTATTACAAAGTGAATGATCTGCCCCACCATGGTTGTGTAGTATGAGATAGGAAGAGGAAGCCTCTGGATTCTCTTCCCTGTCCCAGAGAATATTTTTAAAACAAACATAGATAACTACATTACCAGTATCCCTTCACCCACAAAATCAGTGACCCCAAGGCAATAGGACTTACACCATCCCTACCATCATCCTCTACCATCACCAGTAGCTGCCTCTGCATTGTTGCAGGAACCTTCTTAGAAGGGGAATTACCTCCCTAAATACAGTTCTTGGGTCTCAAACTGGTTCTAAGAATAAATATTCCAATAAAAGGATAAGCCACTTAGCACACTATATTCCTCAAACATGGTAGCATGTCAGTGGAACCCAACCATTCACCCAGCTGTCCTTGGGGAAAAACACATTTTGAATTCCAAAACCTTAGGAGTATATCCTACTGTGAGGGATCTACTTACTACACACAGATACAAAACCCTGAACAGCATATACTCTCAAAAAGTGAGTGCATAGCAGAAGTAAAGATTTTTAAAAGGGGAAACACACATATTTCCTTTAATGATCCTGAAGATAACTTTAGTGTACAGCCAGGAAAAGATAAACAGAAGAATTTCCTCAGTTTTCCAGATCCTCTACCATATGTTATTCATGCGGGTTTGATTATTTGAAGGTTTTTTTTTTCAGGATTTCAATAAAGGCAATCAGGCAGGATATCTTGGGCAGGCAAGCAAGCTACAGGATGATGGGGAGATACAGGGCAAAGACAACTTCAGCTCCCCACCGCCAGGAAATATGATCTATTAAGAGATAAAATGTCATGATATAATCTATGTGATGCATCTTTTGAAAAGAAAAGTGCCTTAAAGATTATGAAATAGTTTTGAGAGTAGAAAATAATCCATCAATTTAGATACAGCTTTTTCAGTGATGGGTACAATGTAAGACTCCCTCCAGTTAAACTGAGGTCAAACATAGAATTCCAGATTTAGATCTCCCGATATTTGCCACTCTATATTTAGTCTTCACAAATTCAATAATATTGGCTACTTTCTGATGCAAACTCTGACGGAGGAAGCTTTTCTGTGAGGACAAAATATTTTTAAAATAAGAGATTTCTTCATTAAGTTGGCCCAGATCCTTGAGTCTAGCACATTTTCCTTCCACTTTAACCCTGGAAACATGAAAAGTTAGAAAGGAAAGGGAAGGGAAATAAATAAGAGAAGAAGACATAAATGAAAGACTAAGAGAAAAGAAAAATCATGGAAAGAAACAGGAAGGTTAATAAAGAAGGAGCACATGATCTTCATTCACTCAAAGTCAGAATACCATTAATGCACCCAAAATCAAATGCAGTGCAAGTTCTTCTTGGTTTATCATCCCTTTCCCTGGAGCATGCAAGAAGGCTATGTTGATGAAGATCTTAGCGATAATGCACTCCAAAGCCCTCATTTTACCAGTAAGGAAAGGGAAGTCCTGTAAGGCAAAGTGACTTACAAAGTCATGACTAGAAGCCAGAATCACTATAGACCAGTCTAAGGTTCTACCAGTCATATCTGCCTGAAAGTGGTAATGGCTTTTCCAAGTCTTAGA